ATGATCTCACTCATATGTGGAATATAAACCAACACATGGACAGAGAAAACTGGACTGTGGTTACCAGGGCAGTGGGGGGTGGGCACAAGGGGTGAAGGGAGTCATATATGTGGTGATGGACAAACAAAAATGTACAACCCAAAATTTCACAATGTTAGAAACCATTAAAACATCAATAAAAAAAAAAAAAATTGTGGGAAAAAAAAAAAAAAGCTATCTGCTGATATTATAGCTTTAGCATTCTCCAACTCAACGTCACAGTCAAAATAACCAAAACTCGTTTTTTAGAAAAGTAATTTAGGAATTGAATTCATTCAAAACTCTGCTTCACTTCAGATGAAGTTTCCACGTTTTATTACCTGGTCTGTTTCTTAGGCCCTTGCCCTTCTCCTGGTCCACTTGATGACAGCCCACTTCCTTGGTTTTTAAAGAGGTCTTTTTTGGGGCCATCATTTTGTTTCTGAGGCTTATTCTGTTTTTCGGATTTATTTTCTTTTTCTTTCTTCCTCTTATCTCTGTCCTCAGCCCCAGTGATAGAGACAGGCTTGTACTCTACTCCTGTCAGAGACTTGTACTGAGCCTTCAGCTGGAGGAGTTCTTGCACAGCTGTATCCACTTGATCCTTTAGTTTAACAAAAGACGAAAAAGAAAAGATAGGATTTAATTCCAATAACCATCTAAGCACACTTAAACAAATACAGTGTCCAAAGCTTTACAAGCAGATTTGAAAACATAATTAAAGGCAGAGGGGTACAGGGTAGGGCTAGAGAATGTTAAATATATTAACTGCTAAAATAAATAAAAGAATATGATAAACAGGGACAGAATTGTGCAAAAGAGTGAATGGAAAACAGTACAGTCCATTATTGCACTGTCTAAACAGCAGTCACTAGCCACGTGTGGCTATTTAGATTTAAATTAAAGTAAATAAAATTAAAAATTCAGTTCCTCAGTCACAAAAGCCACATTTCAAGTGCTCAATAGCCATATGTGGCTAGTGACGACTGTATTGGACAGAATTGTTATAGAACATTTCCATCATCACAGAAAGTTCTACTAAAAAGTACTAATATACAACATGTATTCTACTGCAATTTAAGAGCCAATAATTACGTAAGTTGAACATTTCACAATTATAAAGATGACAGTAATTAAGTTTCTATATTATGGTTAAACTTCAAAACTTATGATGCCTTATTGTTTTCCACTCATATGAATCTTTACCAAAAAATCCTACTCCTACAAAAATAATGCAATTAGCACAAACTACACCAGAGCCCAAAATAAAACAGGCCATCTGAGAAGGACAGAGCTTTAGCAGACTGAATCAAACAAAGAGTGTGCACTAATGGTCTACAATGAGCAGGCCCAGTTAGGGTCTAGGTCCCTATTACTCAAGGATCTTACTGACTGCAGAGAAACAATTTAACAAACAATTAAAACAAAGTGTGTCTATTATGTCAGAGACGGGCAGTGTTGTATGAGAACGTTCACACTCATATCTAGTTGTGGGGAGAAAAGACCAACAAAGGTTTCTCTAAACGGCAAGATCAGAGAGTTGAGAAATGAAATCTGTTGGAGTAGAAAGTGTTCCAGGGCCGGCCCCGTGGCTTAGCGGTTAAGTGCGCGCGCTCCGCTACTGGCGGCCCGGGTTCGGATCCCGGGCACACACCGACGCACCGCTTCTCCGGCCATGCTGAGGCTGCGTCCCACATACAGCAACTGGAATGTGCAACTATGACATACAACTATCTACTGGGGATTTGGGGGGGTGGGGAGGAGGAGGATTGGCAATAGATGTTAGCTCAGAGCTGCTCTTCCTCAGCAAAAAGAGGAGGATTAGCATGGATGTTAGCTCAGGGCTGATCTTCCTCACAAAAAAATAGAAAGTGTTCCAGGCAAAGAACACAGCCTGTAATGTATAAAACAGAAGCACACAAACAAAATACCAACTAACCTTAGATGCTTTTTCAGCTTTAAGTTTTCTAACTACTTCTCCTTGAGAAGCTACTTTGTCGAAAAGTACTTTGGCTTCCGGTGTTTCTGGACCGCTAGGCTCAGAGCTTCTGGATGGACTTGAATCTGAACTTTGAGATAGTGGGGGCTGACCAGGTATGTAGTCCTTCCCAGTTTTTTCTTTATACTGAGCTTTCAGGGAGAGTAAGCTTTCTACAGCTTCATTTACTTCAGCCTGAGATAAAAGAGAAAAAAAGAAATATTTAATATCTTCTGAAATTTCTGAAAATTTCAATGTCATTTAAAAATCATTAATTACCACCACAGTATTCCTGTAAATAAGTTCATCATGGAGAAACCCAAGCATAAAGGAGTGAAGTCATCAGCCTAAAATAAGATCAAAGCTAAAGAAAAGTTAAAAATATAAATCATATGCACTCTCCTATATACAAGTCATAAAAATAAACATAAACATACATATGCATATAACACTAACTTTGCAGATAACACTGTAACTTTCCACTTTACATATGTAAACAGACAAATAACAGAACATCCAAGCAAAATGTCAGTGTCCAAGCTCGATGTCTGTAAATAGTGTAGTCAGAATTTACAAAATCAGAATAAAGATCAGCTCCACAGTTTTGCCTAAACAAACTTTATTTCCTTCAGCCTACAAAACAGACACTAAATACAGCATTGAAAAAACCCAGCTTGGGCCCAACTAAAGAACAGTTACATCACTCTTTTACAAATGAGAAGGTATGCTGAGGTTTTAATTAGACATTTACCTACATACCGCATCCTCTGATACTTCAACATAATCATAATGAAAAACAAAATAACCAACCCAATTGAGACACTTGTGACTAGCAGACAAGGACAGCAATGCAGGCAAGGAGCTAAGCTGGACGCTGTACCTGAATGGCAGTACTATCCAACCACAGACCAACATACCCCTGGGAAGCCAAGGCATCAATCAAAACAGAGAGAAAAAGTGCCTCCAAATTCCCTATCTAATTTTTCCTGCTACATTATAACTAACAGTGCTCCAGACAGTTAGGAAGCCAGGAAGAATACTGAAATGGTATCAAAGGACTGCAGGAAACATTAGTATACCTTCAAAGAACTTGCATCTATGAGACAGCAAATCACATCTCCTTGTCCAGATACTTTATGATACAGTGTTCTGTTGCCTAGTGACTTAGAGTCTGTCCTACCAGGCACCACACAAAGGAAGTAAAGGTAAGAGGAGAAATCACACAAAAAGAAGCAGGTAGGTTGTCTGATTTATAATCCTGATCTGTCTCATATTTATATTCTGTCTTTAGAATTAAAAGCATTTTCACACCAAAAACTACCTAGTACTCACAAAAGAGACATAGTTAATCAGACACACAAGAATCAAGAAAAAAAGAAACTTCTAGCAGCCAAAAGAAGAAAATGGAAAAGAAGTTACGGGACTTTCCTGCAACTATTTCTACAAAAAGAGGCCTATTTGAAAGAAGTTCCATTTTATACTCTAAGTAGGTATTCACTAAAGTTTAAAGTCAGATGGCGCACATGTTTCACACAGAAAAAAACCCTTCCTTGGCAAGATTACAACTAGAAACATTATAAAGGAGAAAATGAAGATGGGCAAACTACTTCATTATTGAATGAGACCTTCTAAAAACAGAGTAAAATTACATATACCTATATCCCTCCAACTGGGAAATGGAATATTCTAGATAACTAAGTAATCTACTCAGATTATTTTTCACAATAGAGTGAAATTATACTACTCACTATGCAGTCTTCTCTGATGATTTAGAAGGTACCAAAGATTCCTGAGAGAATTAGAATTATCAATACGAAAAATAATCACTATCATTTTATGGCCAGACATAGTGTGCCAGACACTATGCTAAGTGCTTTTACATGGGTCATCTTATTTAACTCTCAAAACAAACCTTATCCACATTTTATAGAAGTAAAGCTCAGAAAGATTAAGTACCTTAGTCAAAGTTACACAATACGTGGTAGAGCTAGGATTTGAATCTAGGGTTTATTCTAGAGCCTGCGATCTTGACCACTAGAGTCTGCACAGCATTAGAGAAGGCATGAGATGATGATCTAAATGTTCATTTTAATCCTACTAACATGTCGTGAACACTGCTTTCTCAAAAGAGATCTTTGATTCTTACTTGAATATGTCTCTTAAGATAAGGAAAAAATAATCTCTTGTAACATTCTAGTTGTCTGGATTAAAAGGCATTTACAAAGAGAAATCAGATGGTACTACCCGGTACAAGATTATATAACAGGAGAAGCTTATAAAGGACTTACTAACAGATTTTAAGCTCTTAATGACAAAGACTGATTTAAACCTATCTAACATATGCCAATACAAACACGAAAAGTTTTCAATAAATAATTGTTACTGCAGATGAATGAGAAAGGCTGAACAGCCTACAAAAGAGACTTCAGTAAAGGTTTAAGATGGAAATTTGAGGAAGTAAAAATGATCCTCAAAATATGATTGAGAATGGAGAAAAGCGAAGAGAATTCACCTGGTTACATTTAGATGAAAAGTACTCAACTATTTCTGCAGCAGCCAGTAGATGGCATTTCTCCAAGAGAAAAGAAGGGAACAAAAAGAAAAACCTAGAACTTTACCAATTTAAAGTTATAAGAATACAACCTTGCAAAATGGCCTGAGCACTTCAATTTTCAGTGAAAAAAGCTGTTTTTTTTTTTAAAAAAAAAAAAAAACTTTTTTCAAAGTTTATCTATTTCTTTCAACTCTATTAATGGTCACCCACCTTTGCTCCTTACTAGCACATCTGAGAGAACTACACCCACACACAGCAGTGGTGATGATGCCCCACAGCAGAGGTTCTCACTTGGTGAGAGGCGAATGGTAATCACAAGAGGGAATTCTTCCAAGTGGGGGAGGGCGAGTGCTTAAGTCTCTATGATATAAAAGCCTGCTAGGAGATTCAGTGAACTAAAAGTTCACAGATTTTTAAAGAAAGGCATTTTTTTTAAGTCAACTGATTAGAAATCTGTGTTTAGCTTAAATGCCTAACCCTGCAGAAACAGCCCAATCACTGCACCATGATCCAGGAGCCAGTAAAACACAGTACAGAGCCCAGATTCTGGAGTCAGTCTGGGTTAGAACACCTGCTCAGCTGCTTCTCAATTGGGCTCTCCGGTTCACTTACCTAAATCACAATGTGTCTGCTACTTTTCTCTGACACAAATCGATCAATACAAATTCCTCAGATTTACCTAGAAGAGCCCTCAGCTGAAGTAAGTCTTGTGAAATGTCTTGTCTCACAAGATGGACGGATTTCATTCATTCTATTTATTTTATTTAAAGCAAGTTTGCATTAAGTTCCATAAAAACAGATACAGCAGGAACCCACTGTACACAAATTCCAAACAGGAAGCTCAAAAACCATCAAGAGAAAGGATGAGTTTGTTTCTTCTGACTCCCCCTGCCCCCCGCCCCGCCCCGCCCCCTCCTGCCACAACCTTCATTTTTTTGGCCTGAGAATTCTTAAGGCTATTTGGGGTAGGGGTGAAGGGAGGTGGTTTTCTAGAACAGCCTGTTTTCTGGACAAAGGGGTATAACAATATGTTTCTTTTCCTGATAAACTGTGATTTGGGTTTTAAAACTAAAAGCACTGGCATAAAATACAAAAGAGCAAAGATAAAATATTTAAGACAAATTACCAGGGGCATAAAATACAAGGTGCTCTGAATTAAAATGCTGCACCTGCAGAAAGAAAAGGCAATCAGCACCCATCCAGAGATGGAGTTTGACAAAAAGAGACTATTAATGACAAGATGAAATAATTGTAAATTACTATTTTTATTTAATGTAATAATCACTTGATTTTGCTACCCTTTATTAATTCAATTTGAAAAATTATTAACCATAAGGGTTCTCAAAAATCTTTCCTCTAAGGGAGGAGTCAGCAAACTTTTTCAATAAAGGGCCAGGGCTAGAGAGTAAATATTTTAGCTTTGTGGGTCTCTGTTTCAACTACTCAATTCTGCAATTGTAGCATGAAAACGGCCTTAGACGACATGTAAACTAATGAGTGTGGCTGTGTTCCAGTAAAATTTCATTTACAAAACACAGATGCAGGCCATAGTTTGCAGAACCCTGTTCTAGAGTCGAAAGTGTCACCAGTATTTCATAAAGCCTTTAACTTACTATTTTCTGACTCCCATTTCAAGAAGTACTATAATTTTATGTTCAAAACACTGCACTCATTTAAATTCCAAATCAGTGAAATCTGTTCAAAATCAAAATTTTATTTTATTTTTTGAAACTATAGCTTGAGAACTTTAAAAGTTAAGACTTAATTTTTGAAAAGTGACTTTAATTTTTAACTTAACTCAGCACTCAGAATTACTACACCTTTGGTGTACTCTCAGATATGCACCTCTATATCTGCTTGATCCACTACTTTAATGCAGCAACCTACCGAGCAGGAGGAACAGGGAGAGGAGCAGACGGTGGACTTGAAAGGGGAATGAAAGGGGGCCTTCCAGGTTTTTATTCCTTGCCCACCTTTTGCTTACACTCTACCTTTATGCTTAAAAGGTCTTACACAGAATCACCTATCTAATCCCGAAGCAGAAAAGGGGGTGGGCGAACAAACAGAGAAAGAAAAGTCTAACTGAAACCTGTGACTATAAAACCTCAGCCAATCACCTTCCTCACCACTAAACATGACGCAGTGAAAGAACTACTTTTGTAGGAAATGGAATGGCTAAGAGGCCTTAACAAATTATTAATGTAAAATACGCACAGACTTGCTTAATAAATAATAATGAACCAGTAAAACCATAACTCTCTGGTGCTTAGACGGCAATGCCCCACTACTACCACCTCTAATGGGAAATAACTTGGAATTCAGTCAAAATTGGAATCCAGGCTTTGCAAACTTCAGCAGGAAGTTACTTTCATATTCACAGTTTTTCACTGGTTACTAAAACCAACAAATAAAAAAAGGGATATTATTTCAATATTATTGGACATGGTTGTTGTGAGGATTAAATATAAAAATAGCAACAGTGTATAATAAACAGAGCCAGATGTGGTCTAAATAACACCTCCATTCCCAGTAATGGGGTTAGTTCTCTAGAACAGAAGAGGGCACTGTTCACTACTCTTAGCATTTAGAGAAGAATAATACAAGCAATACTTTGAAACATAGATATAGAACATTTGTAGGCATTCAACAAATGTAGGTTAAACTAAACTGAAGTCAGATTCATTTTAGTATCACATTTATCGTTACCCAAAAGCACCAAGGAATAGTATCTGCCCGATTACCAAAGAAATTTTCATTTTTTACCCATATGCTGACTGTTCATAACCTTGACAGTGCAATTTCAGGAAAGCATGATATAATTCGTTAATCCAATGGGATGGGAGATGTAGTTGGCTGTTGCTCTAAGTATAATGGTTGCTGCTGTACTACCCCACACACAACTAGCTGACCAAGAATCAGCACAGAATCTCAATGTACTCTATTAAGAATGAAGCAATTTAAAGACCAAAGACCTTCCCCCCAAATTACATCTAGAAAGGGGTCCACAGTTAGTGTCTGACATATAGAGAGAGAACAAAATGCTCCTAACCTCACCACAGGGTAGGAGCTATCAAAGATTTATACCCTAAACCCATACATCTAGCAGCCTTTATTCCTTGAAGCAAAGCTGTTTTGGATCATCATAGCTCTGCAGGATTTCAATAGGCTCACTAAAGATACGAAAGAACATTTCTCACACTTTACAATGGAAAGACAGAAAAATATTAACTTCTGGAGCATAACTCCAAGGTCTCCCCAAATAATTTTCTCTCCTCAGCAGAGGTCAAATGTCCATGAATCAAAGTATCTTAGGGTGCAGGGTTTCCAGTCAGAAGCCTAGCAACTCATTAATGAGGTGAGGGACTTACAACCTCAAGTTACTAGATCATTCTCCAACCAAAGCCCAGGATGCTGATGAGACCACAGATGCCTGAGAGCATCTTAGAACAAACCTCCTCCAGCCACATAAATCAAGCCCGTGGTTCACCACACCTCTCTGTGTTCATGCCACAGCCCAGATTCTATTTGGGATAGCTTATGAGGGACTGAATTTTATCCAGTTACAGCACTATTTATTTGATCACGTTTTAGAACTATGCTACTATTTGAGTAAATCTATAGATCTTGATTATTAAACATGGATCTTTCTCTATCACAGATGCCATTCCTTTTGTCTCTTACTTACAGCAAGCAATCCCGTTCCACACTCATTGCCACCACCCACTTGGCTAAATGTTTGCCTCAAGATATCACTAAAAGAAGAATAAAATTTATACTTCAGTCAAAATTTGGTACCACTTGAGGGTTCCCCTATGAAGAACCTGAAATAGTCACCGGTCAAAAACCTTTTGACAACCAATTATACCCTAAATACACATTGAACCTTCATACCTGTCTGCCTTTTCTGGTACTATCTTCTATACCAGTGGTTGGCCAGCAGTATCACATGGACAACTTTTTACAAATGCATATTCTCTGCATACTCTGGACTTAGTGAGGCAGAAACTTAAGAGGTGGGGCCCAGCAATACATGCTTTAGCAAGTGCTCCATTAATTCTGATACAAGATAAGGCTTGAGAACCATGGATCTATGCTTAAGAGTACCTTCCTCTGAACTTTGTTCACCCATAAAGGGCTTCTTCTACTTCAGGACTATTTTTAATATCCCTTATATTGTTTCCTCCTTCCCCGCGACTTATAACCACAAACACTTCTGAGAGCAATTTATACATATCACACACGATCACAGTCAGTGTGTTGTTTCCCCACCAGCTGCCTTCCCCCCACTAGATGGTGAGCTGCTTCTTGTTAATACTTTCAGAGCTTGCCAAATAGCAGGTATCAGTAAATGTTGATTTTAATGTCAAAATATTCAAGCAGACAGTCTATAAACAACGTGTCTTATAAGATGAGACTACCTCAAGCAGTTTGAATTCATGAGCTTCCTTACAAGCTTGTCCTGACTCGCTCCAGCATACTGACCTTAGGGGCTTTTTCAGCTTTCAGTTTACGAACCACCTCCCCTTGTGCAGCAACCGCATCATGCAGAGATTTAATTTCCAGAATACTTGCTGATGATTTAGAAGAAACATTCTGTACCACCGCAGCAGGAGGATTTCCAGGTTTATATTCCTGGCCAGTTTTCTCCTTATACTCAGCTTTCAAAGCCAAAAGCTGTTTTACAGCTGCATCTGTATCTTCCTTTGCTGCTTTCTTGGCTTTTAACTCACGAACCACATCCCCTTGAGCAGCCACTCTGTTGTAAAGGACCAAGGACTCCTCAGATGTAGCACAAGTATTATTTAAAGAAGGAGCTGGTTTTTCCTTAAAAGGAGTAGCCGTCTATAGAGGCAGAAAACCAAAAGTAGATGATTAACTCATGTTAAATGTCTTCCCACAAAATTATATGAAGCTGATTGTTTTATGTGTCAAGCTAAAAATAAAATTTGAAAAGTTGAATCCTTTAAAAAGTTTAAATGAATAACCTCATTTCTAAAAATCTATCCTAACGAAAAATGACAGAAGTAAACAAAGGTAGAAGTACATGGATACTCAACAGAACATTTTTATCGTAATAAAAAACGAAAAATAACCTAAATCTTTACAAGTAGGGAACTAGTTAAAGAAATCATGACACACTGATCAAATCTGAGAATAAATCACTGCTCCACCACATACTAGCTGTGCGACTTTGAATTGGATACCTAAGCTGTTTCTGTTTTTTAACTGTAAAAGAAAGATAGTAATTTTATTGAACCCATCAGGTTGATGAGAAAATAAAAGGTAATAAATCTGTGTAAATCTTTTAGTTACCAAGGCTGAGAAAAAGCAAACATCAGTAAGTGTTAGGAACTATTATTAATAATAATTTTTTAAAAGATAAGATATATGTAGATTGTTGACAAGGCAAGAGCTCCATGAAATACTGATACAATTTTAACTCACTATCGTGGAACAATTCCATGTATAAAATTACATGTTTATAGGCATATGGTTGCATATAAGTATACACAACAAATCTAGAAATATGTTCACCAAAATGATCTCTGGATAGTGAATAACTATACTACTCTAATTCTATGTCATGCTTTCCTTCAGCCTAGAATGCTTTCCTCCCTACTGAAACCCTTCCAAATGTAACCCAGCTCATATCATACCTTCCTCGTGACTTTTTTATTTAATGGTCTTCTACTTAATTTTTCAGAATAATCTCATCCATACTCATGGAGTCATGTGTATTAAACTCAAAAATGTCTCATCTCTCCTCCAGAACTCTGTCCTGATCCAGACCCAGCACTCTGAATGGGCTTTAAGACATCTCTGCCTCGATAGCTTAAGAGGCACCTCAAGGTATATCAGAGTTGCATGAACCTGCTTCAGGGTGCCACAGAAAATTCACAGGGGTGCCATAGGATATTTTTAATATTTCAGGTAAACAGAGCAATATACCAAACATCTGTCAAACACTGCATGTACTACAAGCTAAAGGTGGTTCAGTTTTAACATTAGAGAGTGCTACATTCCTTTCAATAATGTCATATCTTTGCAAAGCTGGATTTTCCACAGCTGCTGTATTAAAAATCAAATACCACAGGAAAATCACTGTGGAATAGGAAATAGTCAATGGCAGCATCCAATCTGAGTCCAAGGTTCTAGAAAGAAAAGTATTATTTTTTCTTTCCATTTGTCTATCACTTTAAGAATGAAATAAAAATAAGAATAAAATGAAAATATTTAACATTTGAGAATAAAATATTTTAAGAATAAAATTAAGGTTTCTTTTCTTTCAATTTACATGTACTTCTTTTTTCAAATGGCTATTAAGTTACTGGAAGATAAATATTTACCTAGTTGTTTGAACTTAACTACTCAATAAAGAGAACTGTCAGGAATTTCATTTAGCCTAGGGTTACCATGAAAAAGTTACTGAGAAACGAAGGATGCTATGACCTGAGCAAGTTGAGGACCTCTGGCCCACACAAGAAACCCCCTAATTCTCTAGACATGTCACCACCTCTCAAATCTACATACTGTATGATGAGGACAGAAGTTGTCTCCATCTGGAACATCCCTCCCAACCCTGACTGTCAGGCAGATTCCTAACACATTCTTACAGAGATTAAGCACTACCTCCAAAATGCAAAAGGAATAGAAAAAAACAAGAAAACAGTTTCCGATCATCCACAACACAGCAGTTCCTCTGTTTTTTTTCTTTTCCAAACCTAACTGACTACCAGGAGCTCTTCTCCCAGAGGCACTGGAGTCTGACAGAAAAGTACAGACAGGGAGCCAGGAAACCAGGTCACTGTCTTGACTCTGTCGATGACAACTTTTGTTATCTTGGGCAAGGCTTTTTTTTTTTCCTTCTCACAAGATGAGCAGCTAAGAATAGGTAGTCCTCAACATACTCCTCAGCTCTGCACAATGCTCCTGACTAAAGCAGACAGGCTATTAAAGAGAAAAAGATCTACTGCATCTCTACTAGGAAAAAAACAATTTTTTTCTAAAAACATTCTTTTAATCTAGTCTTTCTTCTTTCTTTTTCACATAAATTAAATTTTAAAAATCTTGTTTTTAAGGTATTTTGAAAACTTTATGAAAGAACAACAAAACCCCCAAAAATCTAAGAGTTATTGTCTTCTTCATTCTCAACAATAAGAAGGACAACCATTTGTAAAGAAGTAGATTTAAACCCTAGGATACAAGGATCACTGATTTGAGACACATCCATTAAAGTCAATACTTACCTCACTTTTTGTCATTTCTACCTTAGTCTTTTCCTTTGAGCCAGATGTTGGCATTTCTTTTGTATGCCCGTCAGGAATGAAAATCAAAACACATGGGGCTTCTCTGCAACTATATGGGCTAAAAAGAAAATGAAGGGCCAAGAAAGTTTATTTGAACAAAATTATCTGACAGAAATTAAAATTTAATTCCTAGATTAATTCAATGGCACTGTGTTAATACTTTTCAAAGTATAAATAGTCCATTCCCTTATTATTCAAATCAGAGGCTCTTCAGAATAGTTTAAAGACAACAAATACATAAATAAAAATTGACAATGCTAATTATAAATTTCCAATTTATTAAATTTTATAGACATGAACATGATTCATATTTGAGGTAATCTTTGATCCATATTTGAGTTAATTTTTATATATGGTATGAGGTTGGGGGTTCAACTTCACTCTTTTGCATGTAGCTATCCAGTTGATCCAGTACCATTTGTTGCACAGCTCAACAATTTTTTTTAGAATAAACTGAGAATCTATTCTGTTCTAGGCATTACTCTAGTTGGTGGCACCACCACCACCACTACCACCATCATCACTAAATATTTAATGACAGCATAGTAAGTACCAGGCCCTGTGATACGCTGTTTACGTGCGTGATCTTACTTGACTAAGGCAATGTGATACTAAGATGAATAAGAAGAAAGTACAGGCCCCTAATGAATTCCAGCAGTAGAAACAAAACAGACAGATAGATAGATTTAAAAGTGTGTGACAAATATTCTGAAGAGGAAAAGGCTAGATGCTATGGGGACATATAGGTTGGGTGCCTATCCACATTAGAGGAATACAAGAAAGCTCTGGAGGAAGTAACATTTGAAAGGTTACCCAGATGTGAAAAAAAAAGCAGGGCCATTCCAGAAAAAGGCAAGAGGTTAAAAGGCACTTGATGCCTGTGGAAGCCCAAGCAGTCCAGTATTTTGAACAGAAGGGATCAGGGAGAAGTAAACTACAACAGATATGGCTCAGGAGGGTAGAGAGGCCACAACGTGAAAAAGCTTGCATGTCAAACTAAGAAGTTTAGATTTTACTCTGACGCTAACAAGAATTTTTAAGCAGGGAGGAAATGTGATAAAATTATTACTTTGAAATTTTTATACTGGTGGCCATATGAAAAGTGGATCAGAAAAGGGTAAAGCTGGAGACACAAGAAACTACTTTAGAACTTGTTTTGGCAATCAAGGAAGAAATGCTAAGGGCCTGAAATAAGGCAGAGCAGCAAATGATTGAGATGGACTAAACAGGCAGTACAAACAACAAAGTTTACTCATTAGAATGGGGGATAAAGGCGAAGAACAGGTCAGAGATGGTACCTAGAATCTTAGAATTATGAAGATACTGAGTTTGAGGTACTTAAAAGATATCTATTCAGAGATGTCTAACAGGCATTAGATTCACAAGTCTGGAGCTCAGGAGAGAGGTCTGATCACACAGTTAAAGACATGCAATGATGGGCCGGCCCTGTGGCTTGGTGGTTAAGTGCACGCGCTGCGATGCTGGTGGCCTGGGTTCGGATCCCGGGTGCGCATCGAGGCACCACTTCTCCGTTCATCCTGAGGCCGAGTCCCACATGCAGCAACTAGAAGGATGTGCAGCTACGACACACAACTATCCACTGGGGCTTTGGGGGGAAAAATAAAATAAATAAAATCTAAAAAAAAAAAAAAAAAGACATGCAATGAAAAAAGAGCAGAGAGAAAAAGAAAACTGAAAGGAACATGCACAAAATTTAGAAACTGAAAGTTCTAATAATAATTCTATTACTTCACGGTTTGAAAGAAATAAGCATTTGTTATTTTCCTCCAAATGTACCTGCTGTACTACTTATATTCTACAATACATCTACCGAAAATACACAGTAAAGAAAAAGGTAATGGTAATAATTTCACCCAAAGATATACTATAATTTTTTTCTTTATACTTGGACTACATGAAGATGAATTATAGGATGGTTTAGTTTTAGAAATGAATAACTTGCTAGCTAGTATTATGCTGTTTCAAAGTTGTCACTTGTTACAATAAAGTCTGAAATATTAAATATACAAGAACAAATCAGGGCTGGCCCCGTGGCTTGGCGGTTAAGTGCGTGCGCTCTGATGCTGGCAGCCCGGGTTCGGATCCCGGGTGTGCACTGACGCACTGCTTCTCCAGCCATGCTGAGGCCTCGTCCCACATACAGCAACTAGAGGGATGTGCAGCTATGACATACAACTATCTACT